CAACTTGGTCGTGAAGCCATGTCTCTGTGCCCCGAGGGACATGCTTACCGTTACGTCTACCTGAACAGCTTGGCCTTCTCACTCCGGCTCCGCTTCGATCACCAAGGCAAACCTAATGACCTTGATGAGGCCATCTCTTTGTATGAAGAAGCGCTGTGTTTATACCCTCGCCCTTTTTGGCACAAACCTCGTGATTTTTTATTGGACAATCTAGGGGGCGCCCTCGTCGGCCGTTTCAACAAACGCAAGGACATTGATGACATCACCCGAGCTATCAGCCTCCATCGCGAGGCACTGACGTTGCGCCCGCTTGGGCAACCACATCGTAACACCACGCTTAGCAATCTTACCCTTGCGCTCAAAACCAGATATAACAAATCGCATGTCAGCGAGGATCTTAATGAGGCCATTGATCTGTATCGCGAATCCCTCCGGTTAACGCAGCTTGATCATCCAGAGCGCCATGTAACTCTTTTTAATTTGAGCTCGGCGCTCTGCTCTCGTTTCACGCATACTCGGAAGAATGAAGATGTCGAGGAAGCTATTCAACTCTGCCGAGAATCACTGGCGGTTCTGTCTTCACTCCACCCAAGCAGACGCCACTCCTATTCCAGGCTACAGAGAGCCTATATATCTCGTTACTGTGTGCAGTACAAGCCTGCCGATCTGGCACTTGCAGTGGAGAACTTCAGACTTGCATCAAGACACCCTACTCAGTGATTTCCGGCCCGTCTTGTTAATGCATACAATTGGACTGTTACAGCGGAGAGGTTCAGTCATGCTTCTGTGCTAGAAGCCTATGTGACATTTTTCGAGCTTCTTGATGGTCATTTGGCGACACGATCATCCACCATTTCACGGCGCGAAGCTGCCGCTGCCTTCCGTTATGCCAGATTGCTGCGTGTAGATGCAGCATCATGTGCCATCCGCTATGACAATCTACGACACGCAATTGAACTCGTAGAACAGGGTCGTGGCCAGCAGTGGCCTCTGGCCTCTCGACTCAAGACTCCAGTTGAAGATCTCGAGTCAGCCAGTCCGAAACTGGCGCACAATTATCTGGAGCTTAGCAAGCTCGTTTCCAATGCCGCACAGAGTTCTGCAGCCAGCACAGACAGAGCTGCTGCTGATTTGGCAGCAACCAAGTACAGGAAACTTATGGAGCAGTGGGAAGCTGCGGTGGCTAGAATCCGTAGTCTTCAAGCATTCTCGCGATTCCTGCTTCCGCCGTTGTATACAGACTTGCAAGCGGCAGCACGACATGGCCCGATCATCATCCTCATTGCCAGTCAATACTCATACAGCGCCACCATCGTCCCGACATCAGGAGAGCCCCATCATGTTCCTTTGCCATCTATCGCTCTCGCAGATTTGAAGACTATCAAAGATCGCTTCACCAGGGCAAGACGACACGCGTCTCGGATGGACCCAGGAGAGTCGAGGACGGATCTAATGGTACTCTTGCGGACAGTATGGGACGAGATCATGCTGCCCATCGTCAGCGTACTCGAGAACGTCGTCAAACTAAAGCGGCGCTCTCGAATCTGGCTGTGTCCAACTGCAGCTTTCACGTCCATTCCTCTCCATGCAGCTAACCCTTTTCAAACAAAGGCAGATCGCTCTAAGGACCCATGCCTGGATCTCTACACCTGTTCTTACACGCCGACGCTGTCAGCGCTGATCAGATCTAGACGGATGATGAAGAAGCGTACGTCTCCGTTCTTCGTGGCGATTGGACAAGGTCAACCGGGTGCAGGGAAAGGTAAGGCACTCTTAGCTGTCGACAGCGAGCTCGAGCTTGTCCATAAGCTCGTCCCTGCGACTGCCACCCGTACTACCATTTCTGGTGGTGCAGCCACACGAGCAGGTGTACTCCAAGCTTTGGAAGAGAACACCTGGGTGCACCTCGCCTGTCATGGCAAGCAGGACCCTGTACAACCTTACAATTCCCATTTCGTTATGAGAGACGAACATCTGACGTTGCTCGATATCATGGACAAAGATATTCCACACGCCGAGTTTGCGTTCTTATCAGCATGTCATACCGCTGTCGGGGGTGAAGAGGCGCCCGATGAAGTCATTCATCTCGCAGCTGGTCTCCAGTTTTCAGGGTTCAAGAGCGTCGTTGGCACGCTGTGGGAAGTGAACGATGCTGTCGCAAAACACGTCGTCAAAGCTTTTTATGAATATATGTTTGATCCAAAGGAGGGCGGTGTCATGGACCCTACAAAGGCGGTCTGGGCACTCAACTGTGCTACACACGCCGTGAAGACAAAAGTGCCGTATTCATATCGGTGTATAGTTCTACGTTGTATGGCTTTCATTCTAGTCTCTGATACAAATTGTTATTATTTCATTCTGTTGGTGTGATACTTGCTTTGCATCGAGATCTCCCCTCATGCTGTCGTCTACTCTTAGAGGAGTCCTTTCGAACTTCGTTGTTCAGTGTGCTCTTCGTCACACCGCCAGGCTCGGAGGTCATCAAGGAAAGCACAAACTAAGGTGTCGTAAAGGGCACTTGGCACAGTTGGTAGCGCGCACGCTTCGCATCATTAGATTGCGTGAGGTCGTGGGTTCAACTCCCACAGTGTCCATTATTTTCGCTCTCGTCTATAGTAACCTTTACGCGGAGTTAAGCAAGCATAAGCTTCCTTTGCTTCGTATTTCGGCAGCCCCAACGGTATTTTTCTCTTTTTCGTCTTACCGGTTTTATGCAACGACGCTCAGGTTCTAGGAAGGGTCTAGCACGCATCTCCCCTCCCAATCAGCACCGATTGACGGGCATGGGCCCAAATCCTACTAAACTCGCTAACAGGTGGAATCAAAGGGTGCTAGGCGTCACCAATAGAATATGGGCCATTATCCTCGGATTCATCCTACTCATCGCGCTATCGCGGATTATATCCTTCTCAAACCGTACGAGCGCTGGGTCATTTACGACAGAAGGCCTCGTACCAAAGAATTACCTGCATGAGGCGAACTACCTTATCGGCAATTCATCCGATGCTGCGAACCCGTTTGACTTTTGTCCTGTGTTTGGGCCTAGAGATGAAATTGCGAATAAGTATGGAGTGGTGGCGTTGGCGCAGAGTCGGTTGCATTTGGGGAGTGGGGGGAGGGTGCATCGGGTCATCCATAAAGCGCTTTTGGGTCAACCTGTGACTATCAGTGTGCTTGGTGGTTCTGGTACGTGTTCTTTATCTCGTCAAAGAACCTATCTTGATGGTGTAATTGCGTAGTATCTGCATGTCATGCAGCAGGAGATGATCCATTGTCTTCTGCATGCTATCCTTCGCGCTTTTTCCAGTGGTGGTCGAGCGTTTTCCCTCATCCGGCTTCAGAGCTTACCAATGGTGCTATGAGGCGAACAAACTCAGGGTACTTTGGATTCTGTAGCTCACATCATATCCCAGAGGTCACCGACTTGGTGATACTCGAATTTGACGTCGACGATGAAGGGTAAGCACAGATATCCAGCTGAAGTGTTATGCGGTGTCTAAATTCTACCAGCACCCAGCGTGCAATGGAACATTTCGAGTTGCTGGTTCGCTCCATATTGGACCGCCCTGATCAACCTGCAGTCATCATTCTGGGGCATTTTAGTCCACAAACACATCAGTCATATGGCTTTGCAGGACCTGATCACTGGCACAATGTCGTCGCACAGTTCTACGACGTGCCACATATCAGGTACAATTTCATCACTTGTCAAAAGAACAATTTCTGACACCTATGTAAAGCGTCAAACCAATACTATATCCGTCTTACATGTCAAATCCTGACTTTATCAAGCCTTACTTTGCGGACCCCATCCTTGCGACTCCGACAGGTCATGAACTTCTCACTGAAGTTCTCATATCGTACTTCCAATCTCAGATATGCGCCGCGTGGTCAACGGCGGGTGGCCACTCGTACGATACCATTCCTATCATGATGTCACATGGCTACCTCCCAGGTGCAGATACGCATCTCTTTGGCGGCGTCGGTGCAAGGAAAGGTGCTGCGGTGCCTGAACCACCACGCCCGGTAGATGACGGTGCAGAAGCCGAGAAAAAACACGCACTAGCTCTTGCCCAAGCAGGATCTCAGCCTGTACCGATCTACCCCGAACTGCGAATTCCTCCTGTTCGAATTAATACGCGCCCCAGAGATTCGCAGCCATTCGAAGAGGTCGCGCCGTTTTGTGCATCTGCTAATGACCTCGTGAACCCCGTACCTCCGTCGCTTTTCTACGGGTCTGGTTGGGCAGCGGCGCATCCTCCGGCAGGGTCCTCTCCTTTACTTACGGCTGGATATTATTGGTATAGCTCGCTGCCTACGAGTAGGTTGCGTGTACCTATCAAAGTAGGTGCTGGAGATGTCGGGATTTATTTCTTGAGGGAGCCTATGAGCCGGATTGGGGAAGGAAGTGAGATTGAATGTTGGGTGGATGATAATGTCAGAGGTGGAGTGGTCATAGAAAATGCAGGAAACGTTGGTGAGGGGGTACCGACGTGAGTGTCCTGTTTTATTTTCGTTTGTGTGCGGTCATTAATGGCTCATCAAGTCTTACGGTGATTGATCATTCTGTCACGAGAGGATCACACTATGTCGAGTGCGTGCTACTTGGAGAGGAGGGGCAAAGTGTACCTCCTTTCAAGATCATTGGCGTATTCGCGACATAGAACATTGGCAAAAAAATGAGGCATAACAATGGACATACCTGTGGATGCTAATATGTTGATATCGCCAGGTGGTAGCTACTAGGAATTACCTATTATCGTAGACCTCAAGACGATTGTACTATTGAACACTGACAATCCAGCTGACGCGCTTTCTTTATACTGCTGCCAACTGCTTTGAATTTGTGCTTCTAATACGACAGTATGTAGGATGCCTATGTTCGAAGCCATGCTGTCTTCGCGATCTTCTTTAATCTCTTCTGTTCCTTGAAACGCTCCTGTAAAGTGAAAATCAACATCCGAAATGAATGGAATCCATATATCTGATCTTACCAGGTCTTTCTTCGTTGGACGTTTTCTCTTCTTGCCTTCTCCCTCAGCCTCGGCCTCAATCTCAGCCCTGTTACGAGCCTCGACATCCCTCTCCCAAGCACCAACGTCAAAGTAGAACTCGCTCATGCGCTTAGCACGCTCATACTCTGACAAGTGAGTAGGATCGCGACTATCCACCTTCGCAAAAGCACCAGTCCTCGCGTTGAACTTTGCGGTGTACATAAAATTGCTAGGAACACCAGACGAGGAAGCAAGCGACGGATCAAGATGGGCTAAGGATGGATCAATACCCTGCGCCACCGCGTTTGCTTGTAGCGCTGCGTAGTGGGAGTCTATTGTTGTGGAAGGGCCAGATTGGGAGGTGGAAGACGAGGAGGGTTCTGATTCAGAGGTAGCAGGTTGAAGTGGGTTTATCCAAGTCGTTTCTTTGGTTTCTGAGTTGTAGAAGTAATAGGTGTTGTGCTGAGGAGACCATATGGCTTGCCATGATCCCGCGGTTGGGAGGGAAGCGTGAGCGGATGCGGTGTCCTGGTCTGTATCTGAAGGTTCAGCAGACGCCTCTGGGGAGGTTGACTCGCCAATGGACTCGGGTGTCGCTTCCGTGCGCTGCTCAACCTGCTCTTTATCTTCCTCTTCCGTAGGACTAGCTGAACGGGAAGCCGACATGAGAGTTGGAGATCAAAGTCAGGTGAGAGCTAATAATGTGATTATTATTTTTGGTACGTTGGCTATGTACCACCTTGTCGATAAAATTCATAAATAATCTTTAAACTCGCCACCATGTCAGCCGAACATCACACTCACATTCCAATCATGTTACGCTCGGCACTAAAGCAGTCGTCCCAGCCGGGCTCACCCTTCTTGCTCCCGTTATCCTCCTTGCCGTCGTCCCCACTGTTGTCCCCTCTTCCTTCTTCGTTCCTCACACTACCGGCTTCGACATCGCGACTGCCGCCCCTCGCGTCCTCTTCAACATCGCTCTCGCGGTCCCCGTCAATGAACATGCAGCAGAACACCGTTCAATCTGTCGCCGGACAAGGTTACACACCAAAAGTATCGTTCGACACATTCGAAAATCCCGCTGCTTCCATGTTCTCATTTACCCTGCACGTGCAATCAGATGGATACGCTAGGAGCAGAGCGACGAGGGTATTCCTTTGTGCGTCGAGTCCGGATGAGAGCGGACGTTACGCCCTTGACTGGGCGCTGGAAAGCTTGGTGCAGGACGGGGATGAGTTGATCGTTTTCAGAGGCGTCGATCCAGAGGATTTAGGTAGGTGGCTCATACTATCTGGACTTGTGCGAATGTTAAATCACAACTTAGAAAAGGATCATGAAGTCGTTCGAGAAGAAGCTCGTGAACTTATGCGCCAGATTCAGGAGAAATGTATCGAGTACGATCCAGAGCGGAAGGTAAGCGGTACTTATCGTTACGGCATGATTTCTCATTGTGTTTATCGTAGCTCTCCATCATCGTCGAGCTTATTGCTGGCAAAGTCACTACAACGCTCGAGCGGCTAATTGCTCTGTACCGCCCAGACTCAATCGTAGTGGGCTCGAAAGGCCAGCGCGGCATGATGCAAGCCTGGGGTGCAGCGTTCGGTGCGCCAGGTGTGGGAAGCGTGTCAAAGTATTGTCTCTCGAATTCACCCGTGCCCATTATCGTCGTTCGCCCGGAGAGAAAGGTCAGGAAAGTACTTGCCAAGCGACGAGCCGATCCAAAGAGAGGCACCCATTTTGATGAGTAAGCAGACCTTTATATGCTGCAATGCGCCTGCTCATACGTTCCCTCGGGTTGCAGGCTTACGAGGGCGAAGACGCAGAATATACAGAGTATTCCGATGTCTCCCCCTGTCACACGAGCGTGATAGATTTCAGTCGTGTATTTTTTCTGCGACAGCTGTGTGCATTGACTCTGTATATGCACCCATCAACACCCATAGTCACCCTGTATTTCTAATACCCGAACGGAAGTCTGCCTTCTGCTCAACGTGTAATTCGAATCGATTTGCCATGGAGAAGTTTTTTGGTTGGATCT